AATACTCAATCCCTGCCGTCCTTTTACTCTATAATGATCCCACTCTAAGAGCTGCAACAACAGATTTATATGTCAGAACTGATCACTGAGTTTTTCTCTTGCTCAAATTAATAATTGAAACTGACAGGATTGGTTATTCAGAGATGCTTGGATGAAGCCCAGAACCTGCATAGGTGTTTGGAGTGTAATTCTACACAATAACAAGACCCTGAAGGATACTTTGCTTTATTATTTATTCATCTATATTTCTTACTCAGAATCATAACAGGAATCTAACCAATTTTTCTATAGTTTATTTAACACAGAGAAGGATCATTGAGTGGTTCTGAAAAGGTTGGTATTTGGAGAGTTCTTCTTCAGATCCTGATAGTATAACGTTTGTGATATAACATCTCAAACGACAGCAGTGTCAAACCTGTGATGGTGCTAAATGACATATTAAAATATGGTGTGAATTAAAAATCCCTGGTTCACCTGGGAAATATGTTGAGCCCAATCTGTATTATACAGAACTTTAAATGGGTTTCTGAAACTCAGTGTAGTTTATTTTCCTTATGTTTGGCCTCCATTCTGATCCTATTCAGCCTATTATTTGATTGGTTTTTCTTCCCTGTAGAAATTGTCTTTTAATGGAATTGTAACATCTTGTAACACATTTATTCGTTTAATATTAGGTTCTGGAGCTCCAGTCTTCTTAAAGACTTTACCTCTGATGTACTTCTTTTGTATCTGCATAGTTTTTTTCCCCCATTTGAATGTATTTCTCAGGACTGACTTCAAACATTAGCTCAATATACAGGGGTCTTCAGTTTAGTACGACCTCGATCTAAGGGGTTTTTTATGGTTACATCCCAATGATTCACTGTCTTTTCTTTGTTTTTTTATTTTGGGGAAATATTAGCTCCTAAGCGTAAGTCAGATGCTTTTGATGTTTTTACGTCCTAGATTATGATGTTAGCAATGTGTTAGCATAGGTGAGTGGAACAAGTACTTATACATACACAGTAGGCCTGTATATATACAGTAGGCCTAGGAGCCCCTGTAGTTGTTTTTTCTGTGTTTTGGTGAGATAATGTCAGTGGTTCCCGTCCCAGCTCCTGCAGTCTGTAGTCTCCTTGAACCAAAGAAGAAATGACTAAAACCTTTCACCGCTGTGTGATGATGCACATGGAGGACGCTCATGCTGTGTTTCTGTACATAACCCATAACCACAAGGTCACTGTGTTCTAAAAGAGGCTGAGATACTTAGATTTGGTCATTTTAAAAGCTCCTGAACCTTTCTGTTATGAATCTGAACTAATAGTTTCTTAAAGCGGGGGTTGGGGCCCTTGTATGGAGATGTGGAGCTATTGAAGGAGGGTGTGGAGGGGGCAATTACATTTAAGTTTGAATATACATTTTTGGTTCCAAAATGGAGAAATGGCAATTGACTAGTAAATAGTAGATTTTGTAGTATTTACAGTGTTTTAAAACAAAGTGCAGTTGTGATTTTATAGCTCATAATGTAGATGGGACGTTGTCGTGGCAGAATACGTTTGGAAATAACTGGTCTAAACTCATGCAAGTGAAGAAACCCAGGAGCTCATTTTGCACTGAACATATGATTATGGTAATACATACAGTAGGTTGAAAAGATGGGCCAAGGTCATTAGTGCTCCTACCTTATCCTTACAGGGAGAAGGTTTCCTCCAGGTTGTCCAGTTTACAAAAAACCTGCAGATTGTGTGTTAATTGGATGCCCAGTTTAACTGTAGGTATGAGTGTAAGTGTGAATAATTGTTTGCGTCCATATGTGACCCTGTGCTCGTGGCAGTTGCTCGAGCTCCTCTCAGGACCCTGAATTTGATATATTGGTAGAAGATGAGTTCTGAGGGATTAGAACCAGTACTAATGGTTATAGCAAGCTTCAAGTCTCTACTGATCAGAATCCTGTTGGGATACATCTGCTGGTCCATAAAAAAACAAAACAAAATCCTGTTGTTGCATCAACTTTGTATACAGTAAATCCCTCTATTCTTTCTTCTTCCCAGTTGAGCTGGGATTGACTTCCAACAATCTTAACTAGCACAGAAGAAATGTGTGAATTAGTAACTGCCATTGTAGAGTTTTGGATGCGATGTTTTCCCGAAGCTCACTGCTCTAATGCGTTTCATTCTCTCCCACACAGAGCCCTCCAGGTTCCACTTCAACAAGCCTGAGAACTACATCAGCATGTACCACGACGAAGGGAGTGACACACTGTATGTGGGCGCTCAGGCCATGATCTACGTGCTGACGTTCACCGACAGAGGGGTTCGCGACCTCCAGGTACACTCCGCTTTTACACGTCAGTTTTTGCTGACTCCACCATTCCAAAATGTTTTTTTGTGGAATTGAGTCTCTTTGCCACAGATTTCTTTTAGTATTAGGGAATAAGTGAAGCCTTTCGAAGAGAGACGTCAGCAACTATCAGCTCAATAAGGCCACGTCATTTCACTGTAAAGGCCACATATATTGCTTATCAGTGTTTACAGGCTGTTAGAATTGTGTTGCTCTTTATCAAAAATGTGAAATTTTGGGAATAAGACAGTAAGACAGAAAGTAAACTTTGTTTAACTTAAAGGTAATATTATAAATGTTGGATACAAAGTGTCTTTTAAGGTCATTTAATCTGATTTTTGACATAATTTCCCGGACTTTAAGTCATCTCCGGAGTATAAGTTGCAGAAGCCTAACTAATGACAGACACAGGTGAGGGTGATCACACTCATTAACTCCACCTACAGGAGGGAAGGGGGGCAGACAGTTATTCTTTGACTATTACTATATATTTTAAATGCTGAGTTCTAGCAGCCATGAGCATTTTTAACTATTTCTAAGAAATCTCAAACATTTCCTGAACAGATGTGTGAAATAATTTATGCTTTCGTTCAATTTCACTCAAAATAAGTGTTTTTCTACAATACATTAGTGTTCATAATCAATGCCTTTAATCATTACTGTAGAGGAGAAGCTGAGGCCTCTGATGTGTAGTTTCCTGAACCACGTTTCCCTTGAAATGAGTTTGGACAAACCCTGCTGGGGACTGACATCATTAGAGTTCCCAGTGTTCCTCCCCCACCACGAGTCCACATTCAATTTAATGCTTTGCCGGTCCCTAATGATCTAACATGAAATATGATGTAATTGTCTGTAAATCCCAACTTTGAGTAAAAGAGAACTGAAAGGAGTCAAAGAAGAAAATTGATAAATTTGTAACCTTGGATCTGAATCTCCTGTTGCCGTTCAACCAACACTCTGAGACGCCATCAGACATACTGTTTGTCCCTGCTGTGTGGGCCACAAACTGGGCCACAGAGGGCAGACGGAGATGAGAAACAGCGGCCCACTGCTGAGCCACTTCAGCTGCTCACCTCCAGCTCGAGTCGAGGAGTCGGAGTCATGAATACATTTATGAAACTCTCTCTGTGAGGACAGAAAACATAATTCACAAGGCTAATGATGTCTTCGTACAGTAGGCTGGGGATTACAGCCTGTGTGGTGCAGCATGACAGCGCTCACTGGCCTCACAAATTAAAGAGATCAACTAAATTAGGCCCTGTTTTTTATTTTCTTTTACAATAATTACAGGCTTCGTTGTGCCAATAATTCTAAGGAAGGAAATATTGGAAGAGAATAGTTTTGTGCTCATAATTATGGCCTGTTTTATTTAAGATGGTCGGGATTTTTTTAAACAATACCTCTGCAGTAAAATAACAGCCGACAAATGTCTAATAGTCTGAGCCAAACACAAATAAATAGAGAAAATATTTTTGAAAGATTAAACGGAGATGATCTAAAGCAGGGTTCCCCAACCCCTGGTCCTGGGACCGGTGCTGGTCCGGAGGTCATTTGGTACAGGCCCGCAGTGGGACACAGTGAAAGAATATACTTCAGTTTGTGGTATTACCGGTCTGCAGATACTGCAGACTGGTCCGCTGATTTAAATGATACCCTGAAATGCCCATTTTGTAAACAACTAAACACCTCCTGTTCAATGAAGTTATTCCTAATGTAGGACAAGCATCTTCTCTTTAAGAAAATTTGACATCTTAGATTTGGATCATTCATGTTATTCAGCCTCGTTGTAGATAGCTGTGTATAAATTCTTAGGTCATTTTACATATTTATGAAGGTACATTAAGTCGGAATAAAAGTGTTCGTGTTGGTTAAGTAGCAGTTTCAAAGGCAATGGTCCATTTAGTCTAATAGGGCTTCTGGGTAATGGTCAATATCTCAGTACGTCTGGTGTAGACTGTGGATAATTGTACCAAGATTTCTGTTCTCTCATCATGGGGAACTGTTTATAGTCTGATAGACTGTGTCAAAATGAGAATGGACACAACAGATGTTTTTATTTCACAACATAATGACCCACGTTTTGTTGCTGTAGCAGCGAATTATTATGGCTTTGACAGTGAGTAACACTGAAAATCATTGACAGCTTCAGACATTTAAACAGGAGAAAAAGACAAATTCGAAAAAAATCATTTTGATTTTGACTTCTTTAAAATAGATGTCCTTGTTTGTACTGTTTATTTCTTACCTGCTATTACTGCTATAATAAATATTATAATTTACTAGGTATTTTCAGGCAAGAAGAAAAATATTTGTGTCTTTGTCAAACAGAGAGTGGGAATTTACTGCTTCAAAGAAATAGATTTCTGAAACATAAAAGTTGGAACAAATGCACGTTAACACCCTGACCTTTCAGGACTTTAACCACTGGGACACTAGGACATTGTCATGCCAATGAAAGCCCATAATTCAAAGCTAGAGGTGACCAAAGTGTCTACAGACTGGTGTAGTATGAACTGAAAGAAGAACTCCTCTGCTCATATTTTTTTTGTTCCAATGTTTAGTCAAATTCAAACATGTATTTTGTGGAGACTAATTGATTATAAGCTGACAAACTAACAATTACTTGTCACTGTGTCAGGAGAAAAATGGCAGCTAAATACACAGTGGAATCTCACTGAATACCAGACAAGATTACTACCTTTCCAGTCAATTAAACACTTCATGCTGATTTAAACATCCCCTCTCTTCACTACCTTTTGCACTCCAACCTACACATTTCTCATGGCAACAGCTTTAACTTTTGGATGAAGAATTCCTACAGAGTACAGTATGAAGTGCCTTGGTGGGAGGTTGTTGCAGCAGCTGCAGCAGCAGGGTCACTGTTTTTATGCTGAAACTGAGTTGTGTGAGGAAAACTTGGCACAAAACTGAACAGCTCTTCCTCCCACAGATCCCAGCGGCATCTGATCAGACTGCAATTGACACCTGCAAGGCCAAGGCTGCACCACTGGAGGTAGGAACACTCCCTCCCTGTCGGAACCTCCATCAGCTGTGCAAAATGAGCTTTTGTATTCAGGGTTTGTATGAGTGTGGTGGGATCCATATGGTTTTGGTCTGCAGCTGTTATTTGTAAATAGCATCTCATCAACGTATGTGACCTACACAAGTTTTGTGTGGTTTATAGTTGAGTTCACTACACAGTCCCAGAGCCCATGTGCACAGTAAACACATCAGGGCTATTGCCATGCTTATTGGGTGTCTTTCTTAATCAATCTTTAAGTCTTGACATCTTCTTTTAACACACCCACATATCTTTTTTGGATTCTATGTCTTTTCCTTGGTGTCTTTCTTAATCAATCTTTAAGTCAACCGTCTTCACATCTTCTTTTAACACACCCACATGTCTTTTTTGGATTCTATGTCTTTTCCTCTTCCTTTGCCCAGAAGGTTCAACATGTCTTCCCCTGACATCTATCCTTTCAGTAGGAAGATGGAATAACCTGTAGTGTAAAGTGCTTTCAGTGGTCTTCGGGTCTGCAAATGTGCTATATAAATGCAGACCAGTCAGCATTAGGTGAATATTTCTATCCTCAGTTCACATCCAAACACTTTCAACATTGGTTCTTTAAATTTGTCTGCAAACCCTTCAATCTCTTGTCTGACCATTTCCTATTATTACCACAGTAGTAATACAGCAGTACAGTAGTAACTCCAAGTTTCTTCTCTAAATCTTTAAAAGCAACACTTTCCAGAGGGAGGTTCTTTGTTTTGACCTCCTCCTACCACACGGGGAATAGACAGAAAGAAAGGCTTCATACATCATAGATGACCCAAGGCAGCCTTCCAAACTTTTTAACTTCTCCATCACAGGTTGAGTTTTACTTGTCAGAATTATTTTTAACAGTTAGTTAGAACAAAGTTGTTGCTAAAAGGTCACCTGCCAAAAGAATGTGTAAATGCAAATGCTAAGTGTCATCAAGGGCACTCACTCTCTCCATTTGCGTGACTACTCATTAGTAACTTTTGCAAGTTTTCTCTAGTGCTTTAAAAATAGTGTTAATTAAAAAACAGTCATGTTGCTGAAAGATAAGTTATATCTTTCAGCGCTACTGTTTATGACTAAACCTACGGTAAAGTAGGTATTCTGTAAAGAGGAATTGAAGGAGGAAGTACTGATTCACGTTTACTTTACTTCACACATTCTCCATGGAATTTTGTCAGAGCTTCAGAGTAATAGCAATTGTAGCCATAAGATATATTTGTGTTTCACACAAATATATCAGGTGTTAGGCCTCGGGAAGATTGTGAGACAGAAGATCTGATGCATTCATTAGCAGCCTTATCATGGTCAACTACTTTGCACTGTGAACCTATCACTATAAAAATAGAAGTGATCATATTCTACAACATGACCAAGGAGGTGTAGACACCTTGGACCAGATGGTTGACACCTACACCTGCAGGTGCCAAACAGACTGCCTGGTGACGTGGTACAACCTGTCTGACATTGCCACGTTGGATCTCCACAGCATTTTCACAGCTCAGCACTTTAAATTAACCTGACTCATTACTCATGTATAACAGCTCTTCCTCGAACCAACCCTTCAAAAGCTGCCTTAGCTCACGTTAGGGTAGATGGTCAGTAGATGCAAAATATTTTCCCATTGTAGTATGAATAAGTATATATATATATTTCTATTTATATAATATACCTTATTGACCAGATTATAAGTCACACTTTTTTTATCCTTTTGCTGGGTTTGGTGCGACTTATATATTAAAAATTATCATTTCTCAATTTTGTTATTTTCACACTGACAGCCACTAGAGGGCACTCTGGGCGTGTGTACCAGTATCTGCTACTCCTGTAAGTCAAACTTTTTTTCATCCTTTGGCTGGTGTGACTTATACTCCGGAGCGACTTATAGTCCAGAAAAATTATATATATATATATATATATATATATATATATATATATATATATATATATATATATATATATATATATATATATATATATATATATATATATATATATATATATATATATATATATATATATATGCCACTTGAGTGCAACAGTGATGCTCCTATCAAGCTGTAAACCACCTAAGGTATTGCCATAAGCCAATGAATGGCCAGTATAGATTGCATGAAAGATGTTTATTTTACTTACGTATCCCTGTTTCCCTAGATTTCCGTGTTAGCACACCAATGGAAAGAATCATACAGTATATTTACTATTTAATGTATTCTGCCAAAGGTCACTCAGGAGCTGACAGTGTCAATGATCTGTACCCACTGGTCATGTCAGTTAGGTAAGCACCGAACTACGTGTAGAGAGGAATCAGTATTCACCACTGTGGTCCATTTGAATTATTCAATTAGCTGAATTTCTCAACAGTCATGTATTCATGAGTTGTCGAAAAGAAATTAAAATACCAGGAAATACCACAAAGAAATCTGCCCACGTCAGAACGCAAACCTTACAAGGCAGCTTGATTGACACCGCACAACATCCACACACTCAGACGAACAGCTCATAGAACAACAGACTCGTCTCAGATGTGCAACAGCCACATAAAGAAATAATTCTTCATGTCTAATAAGGCCAGGAATGTCATAGCCAAGGTCTCGAACTCATGATTTGATCCTTCAATTTTCAGGGTGAGGTCCCAACACACTGTGGACCTACAGTGAGAGTCAAGGCTGAGGGCAAATTAAAAATGAATGTAAAGAAACATTGGCAATGTTTTCAGCCTGTAGCACTTTAACATTTTATCACTTTGAACCCAACTATTCTCTGAGAGTATATGCTTATTACAACAATGTAGATAGATGTTCAAAAATCAATTATTGCTCTTTTTTGACGTAAACTCTGTAACTCCCGTCTGTTAAAACGTAGAATTTATTTCTGGTTTCCCTCAATCTCCAGAAAGAAATGACGTTTTAGTCTTTGAGTCCAAAGACAGACCACAGGGAAACAGGAGAACTGATTTTCAAATGTTTTTTCCAAACAGACTTGGACAAAAAGTTAATAACTTTTAAAATCTCACAGAGGTCCCAGGTGACAATGCAGTGCTGGGCACAGCAGCCAGTAATGGCCTGGGGGAAAACCTGAGGGAGAGGAAAGAAATATATAAAGATATATAAACAATGACCTCAGAATCTAACTGTGTACCACACAGCAAAGTTGCGAAAATAGATAAAATGTAGAGAGAAAATCTGTAGTTTAGCCAAACAGAGGTCTCTCTCTGAATGTTGACAGACGTTAAACCACAGCAGATAAACCACGTACTGATTTTGGAGGATTGGATCTCGTTCCAATGTAACTAATACAATTTATTTGTTTTGAAACACCACTCAGTTAGTTATAATTTTAGGCAGTTTAAGATGGATGTATCCAGTGTCTTAGACCAGTGCATTTCAATGTAGGGTGTACCAGGGGGCGCTAGTGGGTCCTCAGAAAATTGGAAGGCAAATTAAAAAAAGGATAATTATTATTGTATATCCATATAATATAATATAATATAATATATACCCATTTGTCCTAAATCTCACAACACAAACTGCCGTAATCGTGGATTTTCTAATATCTGATGGTACCTGAACGTATCTCGTGTGACAGCTGAAACTTGGGCACAACTCCGTCATAATCTGTGTAGACCCGGCCAAAAGCTAATGCTGTTTGGCAGTCCTTGGCAACCCCCTGTCCTAGACTATGTTAATTCTGCACACCAGAGAAAAACCTCCCACGACTGTGAGACAGATCATTTTCTTGAATCCAGTCTCAGGTTTGAACCGGTGTATAATTACATATTTATTAACTGTCATAACAAAGTTAAGGCTTTAGTTTCTACCCTGCACCAAACCCCCCAGAGATGGCAGATAGTCTGTCAGTGGCAGATGCTGCAAATTGACATGCTTCTTAGTCAAGCAGTAGATTTCCCTCAGTAAAGAAAATATCACTTGGAAGGAAGCGTGACAAACAGGAGGCAGCGTCCCCTGTTGATAGGCAGTGACAGAGTTGGTGAGAGAAGGGTAACCAGCAGTGAAAGGTTAACCAAAGGTAGAACACAAGTCACTAGATTGGAAAGACAGATGCTGTTTTCCCAACTCCGAGGCTTCAGTGTTGTCTGGTTCATCAACGACTTTCACCCAGAGGATTTCTTAGAGTGACATTTGGCACAGAAGAGTTTGGTGAGAGGGTTTTTCATGTGGTGAATACTTCTATTCCCATGGAGCAAAGTAAATACACAGCCTTAGGAAACAGTTATGGACCTAATGTTCCGGGAAGATCTAGTAGCAAGTACCCAGTGTCTTCTCCTGAGTATTTAGGGCTTGGATTTTACTGTTCAGCTACAGCATAGATGTTTGAAGTCAGGGCTGGATTTAATTATGACAATTTACCCCTCAATTCAAAATCAACTTTAAAACAAGGTAAAATACTTGAAGCTGGTTGGTGTTGTTGCCTCACAGTAAGACTGACCTGTCTGATCAGAAAACTGATGGCTTTACTGACATCAAGTCTGCATGTTTGTCTCCTGTTTGTGTTGTTTTTCCCGGTACTCAGTCCAACAAAAACTGCCCTTTAGGAGTGATTTTTTTTTTTTTTTTTGCAAATGACCAATGAAATCATCCAGTGGTAGATGTTAATAAATTTGATACAATCTTCTTAAAGGACAATGATAATGTCAATAATTATTGATACATTTTTCTTTATCTCTATATCCACTCTGCTGTCTGCCTTGTCATCTGAATCCTCCTCGACTTTTCACATCATTGTTGTCCTTTTATGTAAGATTAGATCCTAAGACTATGCAAACAGAAGACAATACCAAAGATATTTCTTTTGGCAAGTATTACAGTATGAATTGGCTTTAGCTCTAAGGTATCACTCTCACTGGTAATGATGCTGCACACAATTAATTTCCCAAAGGGATCTACTGAGGGATTAATAAAGTTCTTTTTTTCTTTCTTTCTTTCTTTCTTTCTTTCTTTCTTTCTTGCTTTCTTTCTTTCTTTCTTTCTTTCTTTCTTTCTTTCTTTCTTTCTTTCTTTCTTTCTTTCTTTCTTTCTTTCTTTCTTTCTTTCTTTCTTTCTTTCTTTCTTTCTTTCTTTCTTTCTTTCTTTCTTTCTTTCTTTCTTTCTTTCTTTCTTTCTTTCTTTCTTTCTTTCTTTCTTTCTTTCTTTCTTTCTTTCTTTCTTTCTTTCTTTCTTTCTATCCTTCCATCCATCCATCTCTCTACACATGACTCAGACACACGTGCACGAGTTGGATAAGCCAACTAAAAACAATGGGTTGTACAGATACCATGGATATTTACAGATTAATTACTAGAGAAAAACACTGTTGGTGAACGTGACAGACTTCCTGGTCAACTGCTTGGAAAACAAATGATGTAAAACACCCTCTGGGAAAGTTGAATCTGTAAGATGCTAAGTAATTATCCACTGAATAGGTTAATAATTAGAGTAGCACTAAGGTCACACTCCCAGCACGACGACATCTTATTTCTTGTGAGAAAATGAAATGAGACCAGCTAATAAATGAAACAGTAGAAGAGTGGTTTGAAAATCCAAATAAGCTCTTGGCTCCTGCAAGACACTCCATCGTCGGCTTTTGTGAAACGCCAGATTTCCACCAATTGTTCAGAAAACAGGATTATCACAGAACGAACATACAGTACACACGTAAAATAAAAATATTCCACCTACACACACGCATACACCACCACCGACACACTTGCATAAGAGCGGAGTTTATTTGTTGGATTCATCTTAAATTCACTGTTACATGGTACGGTGGAGTTTACAATATGAAATATGAAATTCAAAGATGTAGTTTTCATTTCAGGCTCCATTTAAGCAATGCCCTGGGGAAAGCAGATTATTTTCTGTACATAATAAATACTGGATTTGCTGTGTATTTAGGCATTGTTAGGCTTAACCTCTGCTTTGTCTAATGACCAATGTGTGCAACATTTCTAAATGTATCTCTGTAATAATTAATTTTTCTTTTTTTGCATTGTAATCTTCTTCTTTGTTTCTCTGTTCCTCCATTTTGCCTTCCTGTTTTCCACAGTTTGGCTTCCTCGCTCTACTTTGTCTTATCTCCACCTCTGTGCAGCCTCTCCTCCCTAATCGCTCCTCCACACACCCTCCATCCTCTGCCTCTCCCTGTCTTTTAATCCCTCTCCCAACTTGTTTTCTTTTCTGCCCCCCCCTTTCCGTCTTTACTTCAATTTTTGCCTTTTTGTCCCTCTTGTACAGACTTACTTGTATGCTGTTTTTTTTTTCTCTCCCGCAGCTGGAGTGTGATAATTTCATCACAGTCATTCAGAAAGTAAACGACAAATTCATCGTGTGTGGAACAAATGCTGGCAGCCCCAGGTGCTGGATGTTGGTAAGAGATTAAGAAAAGCTCCTCTGCAGCCTATGCAAATGTTGTGTTTTTAGACGCTCTGATGCTTCAACTCTGAAGGCTAAACTTTTTAAGATGAATTGCTCTAATTTATTTATTGGGCTATAGCTTTGGTCAATGTTTTAGATCGGTCCCTAACCATATTTATTTCCCTTGAGGATGTTTTCAAACTCTAATGAAACTATATCTCTGATTATGTATGAACAAAAGATGAAAAAACAGGCTCATTAGAAGAAAATATCACAGAAACTCCAGTGACTTGTAATAAATCGTCATTGAAATGTATGTGCATAATATAGTTGGCTGTTTGACCCCCTCCTGGCTCTGATGTCTTTTCTCTCCTGCAGGTTAATGACACTGTCCTGACCGATGTCCAGGGTGTTGGACAGATAGCCTCCCCCTCTGACATCTCTCCTCCATACCCGTCTCAGAAGTCCATCAGTCTGCCTGCAGGTAAAAACAAGAAACAGGAAACTAAAACAGAAAATTCTTCCTGATTTTACAACAACAGGCTGTTATGGTAACACGAAGAAATGGGAGTGGGGACGAACACAAGAGAGGAAGAACACAGCTTTGATCAAGACAAATGCTTATCTAAGGCTAGGCAGCTGTATCTGTTCAGTACAACACACAACACAAGGTGCTTTAAAGATGCAAAGATTCATCTAACAGGCAGATAGAATGTAGCATAAGTAGGTTAAGTAGCTAATGGTAAAATAGTATTTAATGAATATTTTAAAAGAGCTTAAAAAGTTAAAAAAAAAATACTGAATAAGTAATAATTAAACTACACATTGTCAAGCAATGTAGGTTCACCGAATCAGGTTGGAAAAATGCAATGTTTGCCAATAACTAATTGGAACGTATCATCACAGAGACGTTGCCCAATCACATGACAGAGAAACACGTCTTCTAATTAACTTTTCTCACAAGAAATGCAGTATAATAAAGAAACATCTTGGACTTTATATACACATGTGGAGAAGTTACCCTCCATCCGGAGGCACCTGTGTACTGT